AAAGTTCTGGTGGGGGAAAAGCAGACAAGATCATACAATAAACATCTTCACCAACTTTCATAATGAGAAGTCAATGCGTTCCCTGAAATCAGACGTAGGATAGGATAGGGAAGAGTGGGGTGGGGGGAAGGAAGGGAAGGGGAGAAAAGAGAGAGGAGGGGAGGAGAGGAGAGAGGGGAGGAGAGGAGGAGAGAGGGGAGGAGATGAGATCTCATCACTCTTAAATTGCAGGATCTTTCACCCTCAGCCCAAGTTCCCATTTCTTGGGACAAGAGGACTGAAAAACAAAGATGGCTTTTTACAAAATTTGAGAAACCAGAAAGGGAGCTGGTAGCATCTCCAACAGTCAAGGGGAGAAGATATCCATATGTTACGTTGGCCTTTGCTCCTGCCCACTTTCATTTACCTATACTGAAAAAAATGACTTGGGAGTCCTGCTGTTTGCCTGAAGAAATGTGGAACAAATAATTTAAACATTCAAACTCTACTTTGGTGAGTATGTTGAAGAAGCGAGAAATAGAAAAAGGAAAGGAGGAAATAGAAAATAGATCTCAGCAGAGGATCAATATTTAGCTACCTACATAGGAACTTCCTCTCTGAAAATATTTATTTCACGCCCCAAATGACATATTAAAATCATTATGCGCCTCTCTTTTCACAGAACATTTTCTCCACCAAAACTAGTTAATTTTATCATTTGAAAGACACTTATGCTGAACATTTTACCTCTACCCTCAAATGTGTGTGTGTGTGTGTGTGTGTGTGTGTGTGTGNAACTCCCCAAGGTTGAGAAACACTGATCTAAGAATTACGCACCATTCTTGAATTGGGAAGTGCAGCTAAAATTCCAAGAAATTCTGGTTATGGAGGCTCAAATAACCACAGCCACTCAGTTGGATAGGATTAAGTTGAAGTTTTTTTCCCCCTCTAGACTCCAGATCCTGAGATAGGACTTTGACTGCACATCTTGGCCAGATCAGATAAAAAGAATATAATTGAGTATCATCAGCATATTGATGATACTAAACCCCAAACTGGCAGATGATCTCACCCAACAGTTTCACGCAGACGTTGAACAGGCTTCCATTAAATGAAACAGACACCGCTCCAAAGTTCTAGCCGCAGCGTATCAAAAATAAATCAGAATTAAACTATACTTTCTTCATTTTTGGTAGCCTCACTTAAAATAGACAGATCATCATAAGATTCATTCACATTTGCTCCTGGTTCAGTATCACTTATTCCTTGCATCCAGGATTTCATAAAACTTCCTTTGACGTGTAGTGAATGGGATGAATGGAATGGATGAAAGGAAATGAAAAAGTTATAGTTGGAATGATAAACCAGAACGTTGATGTGGGATTAAAATTGGTTTTAATGACTCTGTTAAAAACAGTATGAATCATACAGTCACCTTTTTTTTAATCAATTTAACTAAGGAAAAAAAATTCAGAAAGAACTGCAATTAGAAGAGATAATTATCCATCTAAAAGACTATTTTATAAATTCTACTAACTGGATTAGTAAGTGAGAAGTTGAATCTAATTGTTGGAGTTTTATATTTAACTTTTCTGAAAAGCTAAAAGATTCACTATAAAAATGTTATCAAAATGTAAATGAAAAGAATTATTCTCTGATATAAATCTGTAGTAAAGGATGTTTTTACTACTGCAACTAATAAGACTTTGGAGTCGGTTGCTCATGTCTGCAACTCCAATGTTAAAAATGGGAATAGAAATCTGTGGCCCCCACACTTAAACACGAGGAGACATAAAAAGAAAGAAAAAAACTTAATTTCCAAGTTGCAAAGTCTGTTCATTATTGGCTCTGATTCTGCCTTTCATTGGCACTTGGGCCTCCAAAAATGACTTCCAGAAAGAAAGTAAATCTTAATAGATTAAAAAGTCAAAGATCTTCAAAATATGACACCTCCTTGCGTTCAAAAAATCTGCCACAACCTCCTGATCACAATGCCACAGGGCAGGGGTAGGCAACCTTATACACTCAAAGAGCCACAAAGGTCCTAACCAGAAGCCCCCCATTCAATTCTGGAGCCAACTGGTTCCCCCACCATAGAGTCTCCTCCTACTCCAGCATCCTTTTCCTCCTACCTGTCCTAACCGAAAGCCCCATCAATTATGGAGCTGGCCAGAAAACCCGCTCCTTGCCATAGGTTCTCCTTCTGGCGTGCCGTGTTTCTCCCCCACACCGGAAGCTCCTCTCAAAATTGTGGNTCTGTAAACCGCTTAGAGAGGGCTGAAAGCCCCATGAAGCGGTATATAAGTCTAACTGCTATTGCTATTCATTAGTGTGAAGATTCCTTTGTGACTCTGAGACTTCTTGCCAATTGTTTTCTTATACAGCATTGCATTTGGAAGATATCGGCCTGGCAGCTCTCCAAACCTGATAAGGTCTGTGCTTGTAAATTCACCCTTGAAAGTCTTGTTAGCCAGGAGTTTGCTGGATGTGAATGAGCGGAATCCATATTGGCTTAATAAAAAAGGGGTTTTGTTGGGACAAGGAGCCTGCTTCGTGATTTTGTGAAACCTAGATCAGAACAGATCCCCCCCGCCCCCATTTCATGCTCCCGTGATCCCTAGAATATAAAAGGAGGCTCTGTATCCCCACCTGCTGGTGAACAGAACCAATGCTTACATTGGAAGCCTCACTTTAAATCCCATAACTACATTTTAATCTATATTTCATAAGAGGTACACCGACTTGCGCAGGGAAAACAAAGAAGAAAGACCAGATCAAGTTTTGACAGTCGACCCTCAACTCTGTTCCGCCTGCAGCCAGCTTACAGGGCAGGTTTTAACAGCCTGCAAACCCCTGGCAGGGTGTGTGTGTGTGTGTGTGTGTGTGTGATGAGAGCGAGCCCCTCTCACACCGCTGCACGTCATCAGCAGAACTAAGATTTGACCAGGGCCTGACTATTCCCAGTTCAGGCTCTTCAAACATAGCAGGAAAATGAGCTCTCATGGTTTAATTATGAAAGGTCAACAATCCTTGGCAGTCATCTCCACACAGGCTACAATTTTCCAGCTGAAAACAGAAGAGGTGATCTTTCTCAGACGCTTGGAAAAGTTACGCCTTTTTAAATAAAATGGTTTCCCCCAATGGGGGGGAAAAACCCGCTTTTTAAACTCTTTCTTATTTTTCCCTCTTGGGCCACAGAGCTGCAGTTTTAGTCAAATAAATCATTGTCAGTTTTATACTGTCTGTCAGAATTCCTTGGATGAATAAAGGTGGTCCTCAACTTACAACAAAAGTTCATTTAGTGACCGTTCAAACGGCACTGGAAAAAAAGGGGATTTGGGACCATCCTTTACACTTACAACCGTTGATCGCATCCCCCATTGGTCATGTCATCAAAATCCAGATGGCTCATGTTTATGACGGTTGCAGTGTTCCTGGGCCATGAGATCCCCTTCTTACAAGTAAAGCAGGAGTAAATGCTACCAGTTCGGGTCAGTTTGCCTGAACTANTTTCAAAATGTTTTGCACACCTTCCAACTCTAATATAAACACACCCCGGCAAGCTGATAGATCAAAACAAACTCAAGGGAAATCCTGCTCTCCTTCTCATTATTTGGGCATTATTTAGCATTCCATTTGAACCTTAGTAGCAATCGAAGCTTTGTGCACAGTAGAAAAATAAGTGTCATGGCTGAACATATATACTAAATTACTTAGTGAAGCTCTTAAAATAAACTCTTAAGAACAGACACAAATGATATAGATTTGAACATCTCCAACAGTCTCAAATTGACAACTGAATGTCTGATTCTTTTACACACATTTGCAAGTTTGGAAGAAGTATAATCCGGACCAATGTTTCCCACCCTTGGCAACTTGAAGATGTGTGGAATTCAATTTTCAGAATTTCCCAGCAAGCAGAGCCGGCTGAGGAATTCTGGGAGTTGAAGTCCTCATATCTTCACGGTTGAGAAACACTAGTCCAGCCATAGACTTATATTTTCTCAGAGATAAGTAACTAAAAGAATAGCTGTCACACTGGAATATGCTTACCTGGAAGAAACCTTACGAACCGTGGCATGAAATGGAACCGAGGACATGAAGTCTCATTGTTTTCTGACGAAGGACCTTATATAACAAAATGAACAGCAATGTGCCATATATCGCAAGGTGTGGTTTCATAGAACATTCACATGCATCTTTGGTACTTCAGTAAAAATTAAATTACTTTTATAGAACTGAATTTGTATTCTACAAATCTGCTACAAAGCAAATGATTTTACATCCTATAAAACAGTGTTTTGTTTCATGAAAAGCAAGTTTTTAGCCCCTTCCTCTGGAACAAGACTGGGAACCCAGGATCTTCCAAGCATCATTATACTACAGATGGGGAGTATATGGGTGGGACTTATGAGAATTAGCATCTGGAGAGAAACTCAATAGAACTAAAAAAAAAATGGCTCAGAACATACAACTGCATGATATCAGAATTACAGTGGACAATAAAGAGCATTTGCCACAAAATCTGCCATATAATAGCTATGAAATATGTAGATTATAAAGTATCAACTATTTATGTGCACCATGCAACACAAACTTGGCTTTCTATAACCACTGAACATGATGGATGGGGAAGTTATCCCCGATACTTTTCTCCTTCTGCCTGTAAGATTTGAATTCTTTGAGTACATCTATGCCTTCTTTTAGTCTCTCAGCAGCTAGGCAATATTCACATCCTCCTTTCCTTGAATATTCTGAATTAATTGACTGCCTCCTAATTTAGGGGTAGAGGCAGTTTAGCGTAGTGGTTAAGGCATCAGGCTAGAAAACCGGGAGACGGTGAGTTCTAGTCCCGTCTTAGGCAATAAACGAATTNTTTTTGTCAGAAGGAGGAGTTTGCTGCAGGCTCTCGGGAAGCCTCGGTCAGAACACTGAGCTTGTTCGCCTGCAGAGATTTATTTATTTATTTATTTATTTATATGATTTATAGGCCGCCCAATCCCGGAGGATTCATTGGTCATTTCATTGCCCAGTTAGGTAAGAGCATCAGCCCAACCGGAATATAAAAGAGAGTGTACTTACATTTGTGAGAGGCGCATGGGAAAACATGGAAAATCCTTCAAAAATGTACTCGTGGTCGTCATACTCTATGACGGTGGGTCTGTCTGTCTAGAGAAATAAAATCAAAAGCTGGGGAAAACCATCCCAGGAGGCTCAAGAAGCTGCTATCGTGCTTCAAATTACTTACTAAGAAGTTGGTTGGAGGGGACACCGTAATGCGGTAATGGAACAATCTTCCAGCATTGTTGCTCATAGGACGGCAAGGTTTAATCGGCTTTAAGGAGGGAAGAGTAGAGAAAAGACATGAGATTACAGATTAAGACATTATTGTAAGTCTAACAACAATAAAATAGAAGGGCTTGAGCACTTTAATCCCACCAGCACCCAGTTGCAACTGGCAGTTGGAACAGAGTTCTTTTCAGATGGGGCGGGGGAGTAGAATGTCTAACTTCTTAGCATCAGAGTGTGTTAATATAATACTTGTATAAGAAATCTGATGGTCATTTCAACAAATCCTTTCTTACCGAATCTAAGAGGAACAGATATGCCAAATTTCAAGTTTGTAGGTTTTACAGTTCTGGGGATTTCGGGATTTGCCTTTTGTAGGTATATAGAGAAGATTAAAAAAACAAACAAACTATACAAGTACAATAAACCAGAAAAGAAAATAATAGACGGAGGAATGTTAGTTATATGGGAGTTAATAATAGATTAATGCGCTGACTCAGCTCTTCCCACCTGAAGCAAGAGGCTACGCATGTAAGACATTAACAGAATTGCAGTATTGCCCATCTGGAAAGCTGCAAGCTAATCAAGACTGAACCAGCCTATCATTCCCAGCTGGGTATATTTTCTTCACACAGGTTGCCAGTTGTTCTCCTTCTAGCTACAGCCTTCTAAATACAGCTGGAAGATTCCAGCAGCCCCTGAAAATGATAACTTATTAGGACTCGTATGCCGCCCGACTCTCAATGAATTTGGCCAATGGTCGGAAATGTTCCACAGGAAACAAACCCTCCCTTGAGTCCAGTCTGCCAGATCTGCCCGTGGTCAGCCACGTCCTTAAGCAATTCTCCCCATTAGGGAACTAAAATCCAATCACCTCTTCTCCAGGATAGATTCCATGTCTGATCCCTGTTCTCCTGGCTTTGGCACTACATTTGCAAAGAGGCCCGTCGTTCATCTGTTTTAAAAGAAAAAAAGGGGGGTTAAAGTGATATTTTTAGGAATAGAGACTTTAGGAATACGTTAGGAATAGAAAAGAGGAATAGAAAAGAGGAATAGAAAAGNTGGGGTGGAGGTTTTGGCTAAGTTTTGATCATATTTATATCATTTCTGTATTGGGAACCATCAAGACTCCTCTGGGATTGCAGCACAATATGAATAAAAATAGGATTGTAATGTGGATTCTTCATATTGGCATAGTTTGTTGGGCCCAGAACCAAATATTCAAGTAAAACTTCTCTTTTGTTTCTGTTGTGATGCCACTTACATTCTACTGTACCATTGTGCACATCCTTATCAATAATTCTATTCCCTTGTTCTAATATCTCATTGTGCGGTTTTAAAAAAAAATTAATGCCACGTAGATAAACTCTTTTCCTTTACTAAAATGTTAAGCTATTCAAAAAGGCTACTAGCAGAATTGAGAAATAATTCAATTACTTATGAATGCATAAATCCTTGTAAAACATTAAGACTAAACGTTAATCGTAATATTTAAGAATTTTTTAAAATAAGTCTTACAGAAATTGGTGAAGCAGAACTTTTAGTTGCCTGTTCTTTTCCATTGTTGTTAGCAAGCAATAAAAACTCATATTTGCATTTGACTTTTAAAACATTACTTTTCAGTATAACCTTTACTTAATTTCCCATATGGCTGAAAAGGTTTGAAGCGGTTATGTGCAAGGACAGTTTATCTGCCTTACCAAAAGAAGGGAGAGGGGTCCAATTTTGTGGAGAACAAGAAAACATGGCATCGTTTGAATAGACTTGGATTTATGATCGCATTGATGGTAGTCTTTGAAATCATAAGCTGCCAGCTAATTTATATTAAATTTCGGCCCTTGTAATTGCCAAGTTAACATAGTTTAGTATCGCCATCCCTTAGACCTTGGTCTAACTCCAAGGCATCATTTAACTAACTTCTGTCCAGAGGTGGCCAGTGATAGATGGATGATAGATCAGATGTCAGGTAAATTGTGGACAAATTGCTGGGAGAAATCACTTTCCTTGTGTCATTTGAAAGGATGGTAAGGGTAACCCTTCCAAGCGAAATAGGCAGAAGCTAGCCCCAAGAAATGTTTAAACAAAAATAGGATTGTATGAGAACAGATTTAGACTTTGAATTTATACAGTAAACATTGGCAAATTGCATTTAAAATTAGAGCTGCGGAGATCTGTGAAGTTTTTTCCCCATTATGTTTCTTTCACAGTTTTTGCTGGAATTCTTCCCAGAAAAATATTTGGTTTAGAAAGCTTTCCATGTGGCCACTGTTTTCTTTGAGAAAGTTCTCTGTTTGTACATGTGGCTGTGTATTTTCTTAGGAAACCTTCGCTCCACCGTGTGATATATAAATCCTCAGCTGTTATTAATAGTGGCTGCTGTTCAGAAAAGCTTTTTTTGAGATTTATAGTAGTCATACTACTACATACTAGCAAGAAGGAAGTTTCTTCCTTCTTGCTCCTCATTCATATCAACAACTTTACATGGCGTTTCTCTGTTAAGGAAAACTGTGTCTGGATTACTTCAGATGTATTGATTTTTTTAAATACGCATTTAATGCTTTTATGAAGATAACCTTTGGTTCTAAAGTTAGCTTGCATGTAACTTTAAAAGGTGTAAAATAATAAAATTAGGGTTTTTTTATCTGTAAGCTTGTGTTGTTGATTCTTCTAGAAACAATCTCTACTATAGACAGCATAACTGTTCAAACAGGTTTAGTAATGCCTGTTTAAAAATGTAATTTTCTATTGTTTGCTTAACTTGAGGAAAACTCTTTTTTTTCTCGTTTACCGTAAGTGTTTTTTCTCTTCTCCTAAGTTTAAGTCTATCCAAACCACTTCTATCCTTCCCCCTTTCATATTGCATATGTGTGATTTGAAAAGGAAGGGGCAAAGGGAATGAAAAAATTCCATCTTTCCTTCTGTCTTTCTTACATTTAAAAATTTAGTAGGAGTCTTGTTGGGCTAAGAGACCATGGTTAATCATATCATATATGCACCTAATAAATTACATAATTACTTTTATATCAATTCACCCATTGAGAGTGCGATATTTAAGATTGGGAGAAAGAATAAAACCAAATGCCTTTGCAAACTACTAGAATGCCGTCAAAGGACTTTTCTTAGGATGGATTTTCTTTTTGCTTTGTAGAATCCTGAGCAACAATAAGATATCTGGCTTGAAGAATGGCTCCTTTGCTGGACTAAGCCTTCTGGAACGATTGTAAGTTTTCACCATTACATGGCTTAGTATTCTTAAAGTTAAAATCCTCCTGCCTTTACATACATTTAATTAAACTTATTCAAACAAAATATTCCAGCTGAAGTACTTAAATGACTAGAGTTCCTACGAGGCGTATTTTAAAGCATGCAATTAATTGCTTCAGAAGGTGTTTCTCCCTCCCCCCCCCAAAAAAAATGGTTTGGGTGAATATTTCCAAAAATGGTCCTTAGAGCATGTATCCAATGCATGTCTATTTATAAATGAACCATCTACATCTACAGCAGTAAGAGAAAAACTGTGAACCCTTTAGACCTATCTGCTGTCCTCTGGTCTAGCGTTTGATCTGAGTTTGATCTAAGTCCTTTTACTAAGCAAACAGATTTTGGTTAAACAGACAGAACCCAAAAATGTTTTCTGCCAGGTTGATGGAAACGAATAATGCTCCAATTAACAGCGATCTCTGTGGGGAAAGGATGGTTGGTCTAGTCAGACAGAGAGCGCACATGTGTAGAAAGTGCACCTTGCACAATAGGCAATATGGAAAGTTGCAAGACGTTTGCAATGTGGAAAGTTGCGAGACAACTCTTGCATCACCCAATGTCAATGTTCATGAGATGCCTTTTAGGAGGAGAACAAACAAAACTGGTACCAATGGAAGCCACGATCTGGGTCCACATTTCCACCCATCTCGTTTTTTGCAAAGGGCTACCTGGTGTTATCCGTGTTCCATGGACCATTGAAGTGGAAGTGGAACTTTCTGGCATTAATAAGAAACATTGTTTGCAGAAATCAAAACTTTTGATAACAAGGAGAGGAATTTGGCCGCTACTTTGTCGCCTTTTGGGGCCGGATGGAGTGTCAGAAATGGCGTAGCAGGTTTTGGATTGTTTCACCAAGTTTCCCTGGGATTTTTCTAATCAAGGCTAGTTTTATGACTGGAACCATTTCTGGGTGGAATCCTTTGGCCAAATTCTTTAACTCAGACGTGGGTTCCTTCTCTGCAGTATTGTCCTGGCAAGCAGCGGTGAAATTCAGCACATTAATACGGTGGAATGTTTTGAATAAAGCACTGTATTATCCTAAGCAATTCTCCATCAGTTATCATGACTTTCTCTAACAACATTTATGATCCTTGAATGCTGTTTTTTTCCCCTGTTTATTCAACAAGTTGTAAATGCTATACATGTTTCTATTCTTTCAGCTTGTAAGAGAAATGCCAACTTTGACTTTTGTTTTTTTCATTTTAAGTTCCTAGCAATTAGACCACATAGGTAATCATTAAAATAATAGGCGGAAGCAAAGTATTACGTAATTAAAGACTGCATGTGCTTTAAGGAAACGAATCAATGCATATTTTAAAATATATATATATTTTTTTGCTGTGTGCTGAACATTTAGTGCAGTGTTTCTCAACCTCAACCTCAATTCGCTGGCTGGGGAATTCTGGGACTTGAAGTCCAGACATCTTCAAGTTGCCAAAGTTGAGAAACACTGATTTAGTGTATTTCTTTCCTGGCTGAATGAATGAATAAAGGGTCTACAGCCTTTTGGCTGTTACACTGTATAGTTTGCCATTCAGTTTCCTCTCTAAAGTTATAGCTGGGTTATAGCTAAATTGCTGTACTTGCACCTTTGTATGTCTCTCCCTTTGAGTCTACCTACCAAATTCTCTTTATTCAGTAATTCAATAGCTTTGTGTCACATAGCTTTATACTGCATTGTGTGATTGGGTCAATTTGACAGTTGTACTCATTTGGGTCAGCTATTCAGAGGGTAAAATCCAAGGGAGATCTTTTTTCATACAAAGATATATTCACTGCCCTATCTTTGAAAGCTTGTGGTAAGGATTCAATCATTTACTAATTTGCTTGAGCTCAAACGCAACATTTTTTTCATCAGAATTGCAAGAACATGTACTAGTAAATAACTTAGTTCTGATTTGTGACTGAGATAAGAGAGAAATTTTAACATAGGTTAAGGTTAGCTGCTTAAGAGCCGAGGTGGCGCAGTGGTTAAATGCAGCACTGCAGGCTACTTCAGCTGACTGCAGTTCTGCAGTTCGGCGGTTCTAATCTCACCGGCTCAAGGTTGAATCAGCCTTCCATCCTTCCGAGGTGGGTAAAATGAGGACCCGGATTGTTGTTGGGGGCAATATGCTGACTCTGTAAACCACTTAGAGAGGGTTGTAAAGCACTGTGAAGCGATATATAAGTCTAACTGCTATTAAACCTGTGGTTGATGACTATCAGTGTGTGGGTCTCCTGCAAAAGTTAGTTATCCTGATTATTCCCTCATCCCTAGAAACTCTGCATATTGACAGCTTTCCATTAATTAGTCGACTGAATGCGTGCTGTTTGGCTTCATAGTTTGCTCAACTAAGAATTGATTGTAATCTATTTCAGGAACTGCGCTAATTAATAGAAGTCTTTAGTGATACAACGGTGTGTTTTTATAAATTTTATGTGCAGTACTATTGTATACTTAATTCAGATAATTGTTTGATAATCTAGAGGGATTAGCATTCAATCTCACTATAGGACCACTTTGCGATTAAAAAGATTAAAACTTTGAACAGAGATCCATGACTCTTCCCCACTCGCGTCCCACATACAGGAGGTCCAGAGAACCTTATTTTCTTTCAGAGGTCAGGATCCACAGGCAGATGCGTTTGGGAATGCTGCCAAAGACGCACTTCAGTTAACAACACAGTTGTCTCTGTGCTGTTACTTTGCAGCAATTCGGAGCTCAGGTCCCTTACAATAAGGGTTTCCCATAGCAATTTCAAA